CGCGTTATTACGTCTGCCATGAGAGCGGAATAACGGGTGGAGGAGGAGACGGGTAAGAGGGGGTTGGTTGGATCCGGAGAAGGCCGGAGCCGTAGCGGGCAATATGTTCCGAAATTGTTTTACTCCGGCCGGAGCAAAGAGAAGATAAAAATGTTCCTTCGTAGCTACGTCGCGCTGCTTTCTGCCCTGCCGAGCGCCGCGGAGTAACTTTTGCGGGATGTGATGTGGAAAATTGGATTCAAGTTTGGGGCGGAGTGTAGCCAGAAAGGGACAGCACGGTTCGACGGGGGGAGAACGTCGACGAGGCCGGGGGTGGCGGCGAAGAAAGTAGGATATAGGTAAGAAGGGGAGTATAGGAGCGTGGCGAACGAGAAGAGGATCGAGAGGACGGACGAAGAGGAAGAGCGGAGAGCCAGAAGGGCAAAGACACGAGAAAGAGGTTAGCTCCGGAGCAAGGACACGCTCCTTTTATCGTATCCTCGCCCTCTTACCCTTCCGCCATGCCTGCAACACCACCACCGACTCCGTCGACCACCCCTTCTCGCCAACGTTTGCTTTCCTCGTCCCGTTCCTCCGTTCCTCCGACCTGCTCTCTCGTTTCCGCCGATACACACGCGACTGCCGGTTCCCCGTGTCTCACCACCGCGCATCCCCTGCACGTACACGTAAGAGACTACGCTTCACGGCTCGACCTTACTTCTCGTGTCTCGTCTACGATTTTCGACTCGACGAAGCGGTTCGACCGAGTAATTCCCTGGTGGCCGGAAGCAGAATCTCTCCTCTTCCACCTTCTCCGTCTCCGTCTCCGTCTCCGTCTCCATCTCTACGTTCCTACAGCTGCGCGCCTCTTTTCCACCGTCGTCATCCGGCGCACCAGCGACGTTTCTAGACGCGCGCGGCCGTCTCTCCGCGCCCTCTTTTCCTTTTATTTCCTCCTCGCTCCTCGGTCTTGGCCCCCGCGCGCGCGTGTCCCTTCGCTCCGCGAGCATGTGCCCGTGTCTTGTTTTTATTCCCCGGTCGTGGAAAAAGAGACGCCAGGGAACGTTGTAGATATTAATTGGGACGGAAATGGCTGCGGGCATTCCGCGAGCGATCAGCCATTTGCGGCCCGACCGGCTGCCAGACGCAATTCGCTCGGTAATTTTTCTGAAATCGATCGCTCGATCCTCCTCGGGTCACCGACCAACATTGACGTTCCGCTTCGTTTCAACAAGAGTAATTATTTTCCGATGCGCCGCGATCCCTTCCTCCCGAGCGCTCACCCCCGTCGTCTTAGCGTCCGACGAATTTCACCCTTCCTCTGTACATCCCCGTGCCACGAGAAATCGTCCTTAATTCGCGCGACCTTTTTTCCACGCCACGGAGCAATCGTCTCTCGGCGAGCGATCTTTAAAAAGCAGCAGCTAGCTGGAACCTTCGACCTCCTCCGGAGCGGCGATTATCCCCTGCCGGGGATTGTCCAAGGTCAACAGCGTCACCGAACGGAATCGATAAACGTCCAGATCGTATTAAGAACCACTCTCGCTGGCTGCTGGTTCAACGACGAATAAAAATAACGAGAGTTCCTCTTTCTTTATTTCCCCCCTCTCTGTCCAAACTCCGCGCACGAGCAGCGGCGATTAATATATTTTTATCGATCATCCGCGCGAAATGGCCAGCCGAATTCGGACCCGAGTGACGAGGGAAATAAAAAAGGATGGAGCAAAACAGTTAGAGAAACTGGCGGATGGATGAGCGGCGTGTAACGGGCAACGCAACTTGCCCGACTCGAAGGGCACTTTGTAACCGGTAAAAAACACCGATACGCGACGGCCAATAGCCGCGTGGAATATTTTATTTAGAGGTACACGTGGCCCTCGACCGAGATTCGAGTTATCGGAATACGTCTCCCGGTGTAATACACTGACCGGGGAAGAATTTACTGACCGGCCGATAAAATAGCGATACGTCCAGCGGCCCGTAGATGGGACGTGCGACAAGCCGGTAACGGTGAGATCAATGGACCACAGAATTTTTCGAAACGTCGTTAAATCCCCCGTGTCAGCAGGGCTCCGGAATCGATTCTTCGGCTCCCGAGCCCACGGCTATTTCTACTATCGAGGATATCGAGCTCGCCGCCTAGCGTAAGCGACTTAGGCGACTATAAGCGGTGAAACGCATCATCCTTCGGTTTTCTTTTCGGATGGCTTTCCCAAACCTTTGCCTCCGTTTTCATTCCCCGGGAAGGTTCCTCGTCGTCGCGTCGCCTATGATACGGATTGTCGAATTTAACCCCTTCGCTTGCGGTTCTTCCAGCGACTCGATCTTGGAGGAAGAATGAAAATGAACTTGTATCTGCGAGACGAGTTTCGATTTCTCGATCGTATAACGTTGACCAGGAATGGTCAATAAGAAGATCGCGAAGAGATTTTTGGACGATTATAGTCGACAATGGAAGAGTTCTATATGCAAACCCAACTATGGATTAGTCACGACTGGCAGAAAGAAACGACCGTGACTCCAATTCGGGTTTGGAATCTGTTGGAAATTAGCTACGCCTATGCAACGATGGTGACAGGTCTGTTAGAGGTTGCAGGCCAATCCGACCTTTGGATCTCAAGGTACTATGCAGGCATCAAGGGGTCGGTTTTTGGGATTTAACCCTTTGCACTCGAGAGGTGTCTCTAGGTCACCATTTGATAAAACTTCGAAGCTCGATATTAATTAATATATCAAATTTAAAATAATGTAACAGGGTACGAGGTATCGAAATTGAATAATTCTACGAGTCAATTATTATACGATTTCTTATTTACTACTCAAAAAATATCATCAGCCTTATGGAAGAATATTTTTCAACTCGTACCCCTCTTTAGCCAAAACATCGTCGAGCGCAAAGGGTTAAAAGGGCCTGCTGTCCCTCGCTTCTCTCACTCTCAAATCCGGAACAGTGCAGATAGCTTACATATTGTGACCCACAGTGGTGTGAAAAAGACTCGTGTTTTACTTGTATATTCGCATAAAGTGCATTCATTAAACTTTATGCAGTCAATTGCTATAGAACTGAATACGGTTACTTCCCTGTACGCTAATCATTTGGATTTCCTTCCCGAAATTCCCAACAGAATCGGCTAGTTGGTAATGTGTATAATGAAATTAGACATACTTGACATAGACTGTGATACATAAGTGTAATCGAAGTCTATTTCCATCTAAAGTCTTTTAGGCGAATATAAGAGACTTTTATCCGCTGCTAAGTTAGGGGTGCACGAAGTCTTTGGCGCAAGTTACGTATTAACCCTTTGCACTCGAGAGGTGCCCTTCAGTCACCACTCGACAAAATTTCGAAGCTCGATATTAATTAATATATCAAATTTAAAATAATGTAACGGTGTGCGAGGTATCGAAATCAAATAATTCTGTGTTAATTATTATACGAATTCTCATTTATTGCTCCAGAAAATATCGTCGGCTTTATAACAGGAAATCTTTGAACTCCTGCTCTTCTTTAGCTACAAAATCGTCGAGTGCAAAGTGTTAAGAGGTGAAGCTACGCGTGCTACCGATGGTATCAGAGTTACCTCGACCTACAGGCTTTTACTATTACCTATTCTTGCGTGTCCAGCGTGAGCCGTCTTCGAAGACGGCTCAGTCATCTCTCAAGAAAATTTCAAAGTTCTGCGCGACGCTGAAGGATCGAAGATGGAGGACGAATCAGCGAATGGTCGAAAGTTAAGAGTGGAATGTTTGCCGGATCTCGAAGATGGACTAGCATGCTCCATCGCGCTATCGCTCATACCGAAGATCAGCCGAGTGTCTGGGAAACTCGGCGATGGAGTTATACCTAGGTCCGAATGAGGATCGTTTGTCCCGCGTCGCGCGAGGGAAGACGAAATAAAGGCGAAAGGTACAATCTCGCCTGGCAAGCTGGAAGAGCTAATCTACCGACATAAAGTTGCCCCATAGAGCGAGAAGCAGAGGCGCTTTAACGCGCGCCGCAAATTATACCCTAACCAACGGAATCCAAGGGTGAAACAGCGGGCAACCAAAGACGGAAGAATACGCGGAGGCAGAGAGAGAGAGAAGATCGGGACGAGAAGGGGTTTTGCACGCGACTCTTTCCACGGCAATCTGTAACTTCTCCATTCGACGCTAACAACCGAGCAACACGAAGAGAGAGGCACGGAGTTGTTCACGGTCCGACTGCTCGACCTCTAATACCGTCTCTCCTTCGTCCCTTCACCTTGGCCAGCTCCTTCGAGAAAGTACGTTCCTCGCCCCTTGTTCCTTTGCTCTCGTTCCCAAGTGCCGTTTCTCGAATAAACAGTCTGGACGGAAAGGTAGCCCTGCTACTGGCGCTGTGGGTAGTCGAGGAAACCCGGTTGGAACTGGCCGGGATCCGGGGAGGAGGGCGAAAACGACCAAGTCCTTTTCGAGGAGCCACGAGTAACGCGTGGTCTCGGTCTCGCTGGCCGCAGTAGCTTACTCGCTCTACAAACGTTCCTTGATGAGATCGACGTGAGTACCTCGAACTCGGTCTGCTTCTCGAGCAAGGCTCCTCGAAAGCGTGGCTTCGGTCGAGAGTCGTTCGGTCCTCGGTTAACGAACTAAATTTTCGCGAGACGTTGCCTTTAATGGTTTACGGAACGTTCGCCGCCCACGCTCCTTATCCACACCGACTAACCATTCTCGCAAATTACTCGCGATCTTATCCGGTTAATCATCCGCCGCGAGTACACGCCCGCCGAGTGTCATCCTCTTTTTTCATCCTTACGTGTGCAGGCTCGTCGTCTGCAAACGAATCGCGTTCGACGATCTCTGCGTGGAAAGGCACCTGTTGCCACCAGCCAGCCGGCTAATTCCTCCACGCCAGACGATCCACGCGATCTATTCCGAACGTTGATAACTCGTAATTCACGGACATTCGTCTGTGTCCGTTTACCGGAGGAAACCGGCGAGCGCACGCGTCTCTCGCGTAAATCGCGAGCCGTTCTCGCCGAGATTCCCGTAGTCGCCGGGTCGTGGACGAATAATGGCCGCTTACGGGGGGATTCGACCGGTGGAAAAAGGAGAATATGGCGGCGAGGGGTACCCGATTCGGTGCCTCGGTGTATCGCGCACCTGTTGCCTCCTCCTTATACGGAGAAAGGATGAGAATTTACATTTGAATAGTCAGCAGGCTGGTATCGCGAAGGTTCGCGATCTCCCGTCTCGACGAGTCATTAGGAAAATGGACGTGGATGGCAACGTGATAGACGTCGCGGGATCATCCGACGAGAGGGTAGAACGGCGAAGCATCAGCTGCAACGACGCGACGCGGCCAATCAGGAAAATTAAAGAAAAACGTTGGCCTAATTGAAAAGTTTGCTGCCCGGATTGAAAATGGACTAGGCTGCCGGGGTTCGACAAACAGTTGGGCAAACAGGAAGTAAATGTTTAAACTGGAGGGATCGCGAAGGAATTACATTTAAATTAGATTACGGGCCAAGTAAATATTGGAATTCTACTCTAGCAGCCGGTCGGATGGAATCGTATTACAAAATATGAGTAAATATCGTTCGCTCTGTCGGACTTTTGTACCGTATTCCATCGTCTCGCGGCTGGAAACGCCCTTTGCTTCCGGTTAATTTCGTTGATACGCGTTACTCCCGCCCGTGCACAGTCACGGCAAGGGAGAACGCACGCGCATCCGGAATTTAATTAGCTTAATTAAATCCGGATTCTTGGTGAATCTTGCGCGTTTCCGCCAACTGCACACATTCACGAACAGGGGATCGCTTGACCTAAAATCACGATGAAAGAATGCGTTTGAACTGTGTGTGACTCGTGCCGGTAAAATATGTAGCCCGGTTCAGAGCTGGAAACGAGAACGCGAGCGGGCATCGAGCGCATTCGAACGGCGGCTTTTTAAAGGCAGTCCCATTCGAATGGCGAAAAATACAGGAAATTTTTTAAAAACGACCAACCCTGGCAACGCTGAAAGTCGAAAAACGCGCAACACGGCGCGCGCTCTTGTTCATCGCACGGCAGCTCTTTTTCCGCGAATTTTATCCGCTCGTCCACGAATTTCGGACGTTTCCTCAGCGGAGAACGTCGATGCTTTAAAATATTGCGGTGGTGGAAAAAAAAGGAGAGAAAGAGAGCGAGAGAGGGGTGGGAGGATTTCGTGCGCTCGCGGTTGAAGCCGGCGGCTTGTGCGGAAATACCAAGCAGGAAGAAACAATTTTTAACATTTTCCATGAAATTCCACGGAATCCCGTCGAATATTCATCTGCCTAAATAAAACGGGATACTTACCGAAAGTATCCCCGGATTAACCAGTACACGCTTGAAAACGTCGAGTCGCGTGTTTTTCCATAAACGGCTATCAATTGTCCCTTTAACGTCTAGCATATCAAACAATTCATTTTCTACAGCAATCGAGTCGATAGAAAAAATTGAGCGCGTGAGTGGACCAGAATTTCGCTGGCCTATCTACGTTCACGAGCAACAGACAACCGAATCCTATTCCATTTGACCTGCTCTCGTGATCTACCCTGTGTAAAAGCGCGAGAGGGGACAGGGAGAGAAGAACCCTCCCGGAGGGAGGCCCGTTGCGAGGAAAGGGGCGGGTCCCGTTCATGATTCAATCAACGAAGTTAAAGCGAGCGCGAAATGACACGGCGTAAACTCAGGGTAAGCCCTCTTTTCATCCCCTTGAACGCATTACTCGGAACGCACCACCCTTTCTTCGAATTTCATTCATACGAGCGTTACGCTCGCGTTTCAATGCCTCCATCGAGACAAGAGTGTTTTAACGCGTTCCGTGCCGCGACTGCTGCAACTTGTGCACCCTGAACTTCCCACGGATCTGACGAAAATAAATAATAGAAAAATGTGGGGAAGAACGAAGCAGATACACGGAGAAATAAACAAACGGAAGGGAGACGAATAGAAAAATGGGGATACAGAGGATACGGAACGGCTGCGTTCCAGGAAGATTATTCTAAACCGCGAGGGATACCATTGAACTGCTCCTGCGGAACCATCCCGATCGCGACAATGAGACGAGTGTTTCCACGCTGGAATAACTGGAAAAAATATTTTTTCCGACAACAAGTGCCGCTAGAGAAACGATCCCGCTTTTTCCCCGTGTAAAACGTTTAATAGATTCCCGAGCATCGCGAGCTACGAGGAAGAATCGGCGAAGACACGGGGCTAATGATATTTCTCGGTTACTTCGGCTATATTTTCACAAAAAACATCTCACCGGTGAGGATCGCTTAAAGATGCAATTTAATCGGGAACTTTACATTCCATTACGCCGGAGAAAAAGTACCGTATCGCCGGAACTACGTTTCCCTCCACTCCGCGCCCCCCGCTCTACCGCCCTTTCGCGTCTCGAATCGCTTTTTAAAAAGCTTCCTGTCCGTCCAGAGGGTCTGCTTCAAGGAAAGTTCCCCTTTGAAGCCGATCCCGTCCAACTTTCAACGCAACGGACCGGTCTCGTCATCGGTAAATATTATCGTCGGACCGAGCGCCGGGGCCGCTGACGGAAAACGCGAGTTTTCCACCCTCTCCTAACGCGGAAAATTTCGATCGCTGGAAAACAAGGAAGATCGGACCCGATTCTCAAGACAAGCAACGAATTTTATTTCTTCGCGCGAAACGAAGTTTCGATTCTCGACGTTCATCGACCGCCGTTCAGCTCAGCGACCAGTCGCTCCGCGAGTACAAAAGCTTGCGGAACGGCGGACAAAGCGGGGAAAAAGGAGCAACGAGCGGACGAACGTGAACCGCAACGACCGAGGAAACACGCGTATTTCCTTCCATCCCGCTTCTTCCCCCGGCCATTCCGGAGAATGGCCGTCGCAACGCGTCGGTCACCGGCCAAGGAATCGCGTCGCGCGCACACTTTTCCGCGGAATAACGTCTCGCCGCGCATTTTTGCGGCGCGCACCAGCGCAAACTTTGTCGCGTAAATATTTGACGCAATCCGACGCAAGTACGAAATAATCTGCCCGTTGGAACGGAATCCGGTTGCGACCGAGGAGACCGCGAGGTCTGCTCCGATGCATTAGCAGCGCTCCGAGTTGGACGCTTTAACGTTTCGCGTTGCATCCAAACCGAAGGATCACTCGGGGAAACTTCGAATAAATTTACAAACACCGGGGCGTAATTCGAGTTTTCACCGCATTTCAAATCGATTACTCGCTTTACGGTACTCCGTGATCATCTCGCCAACAGTTTCCTTGCGTATCGTGAAAATACATTATCGAGATACATTATGGAAATACATTATCGAAATGCCGCGATTAATTCGCTCCTCTATTTCTGCCGAAGAGTCAATCGCGCGAGAAAAATCGCGACAAAGGAAATTTGTAAAACGCGAAAGAAATTCGGTTCTCTAGGACGCGTGTGTAGCGCTGGCGAACCGTCACGGCCACCAGCGACTTATCCGGACGCTTATCTCGCGAAGAGGAAGAGAACCTCGACGAGTCACCAGGTTTATCGTCTCGTTTGTATCTTCATGAGCCGAGCCGACGTTTCTCATGCTGCTTGGCCAGCCATGCGAGAATCCGCGACGTCGAAAGAGGCTGCTGAGAAACCGGTGGAGGATGAAGAACCGAGAATGCGAGGGAACACAGGCGAACATCCCGTCCCGTTTAATCCGTCGATGTTAGACGCGATCCATCCTCGTTGCCGTCACTGTCTCGTCCTCCTGCTTCTTCTTCAACCGGAGCTCCTCTTCTTCCACCGATATTCGCTGCACTCGAGGGCACCGCTGGCTCCTCGGGACCGCCGCCTCTACCTGTGAACGTAGTTACTGCCTCGTTGTTCGCCGTTGTTCCCCGTTGTTCCCTTTACCGTTGTCGCGAGTCGAAGCCAGTTGACGCAGTCGGTGACTCGGCCACCTGGGAAATACCGAGTAATGCCCGCAAAGCTGGTTTCCTCTCTCGCTTCCGTCCACCTCCGCCTCCTCCCGTGCCATCCTCGTTCCTCCGGGCACACCTCAAGGTTGCCTTTTTTCGTAACACTGTCCGTCTTTGACCGCGGCCTCCGTTTCCGCATCCGCTGTCCTTGTTTCGGGCACAGAGGGAACGAGCATCCGCGAAAATTGGCCAGACTTCCATCTCGAGAGCTGTAATCAGAATTACAGACACGCGCCGCCTGCGGACGCTGATGATTTAATTTATCGACCCGCAGCTGCGATAAAAAGACCCCGTGATTGGCCATTGTCGAAACGCCGAATCTCGCCTCGGGCAGACTCGTTGTCTCAGCGAAGAAAGATCCGGAAGCTTCGAGGCTAGCTCGAAGAGTACCCTAGGTGTGTGGTATAATCGCGTACGTGTCGCGAACTTTGTCCCCATACTCGTTCCCCATACTCATTCCGTGCACTCCGCGAAACATGTTCCTTACGCTATTCGAAGTTTTAAGACGGTCAACGACACCGTCGTCAATTCGTCTTTTTCGACGTTTCCCGTTTCTTCTGACCCGCCGTCTTCATCGCGAGAACGCGTCTGAATACTCTGTACGTAACGTAGAGAACCAGCAGAAGAAGCAGTAGGAAAACGACGGCGACGTCGATGAGATTGCGTTGGCACCAGGACATGTTCGCTGCATCGCTCTTCAAGTATGGCACCCCGTTCCCTCGACCCACGTACTCCGTCCACCACACCGCTGTGTCCAACGGACTCGCGGGACGATCCCTGAAAGCCTTTGACAACCTTTTTGCGTTCTCGTAGTATCTGCAATGGGAAAGGAATCGTTAGCGCGTTAAATATATTTCTGGAATAAACGAAGCCAGCTAGACGGTGAAAAGGGCGCCGTGGACGTAAATTGGAAAACGAAGAAAATTTCCATGCGCAGGTGACCCGCGGCTGTGCTCGCAAGCGGGGGCCACTTCCGGTACACACGCCTGCTGGCGTTTGCATTTACCATGACGGTGGCAAGTCATCGGTGACGCGGAACCTTCTCTGTTTTTTCTATCCTCGACTTCGGCGACCGTCGATACGATAACCCGGGATCCGATGAATAATTCATGCGATACACCGATCGATCCGCTGCTCGATACCGCAGCGAGCGGAAAAAGATGCCGCGGGACACTTTATAAATATCTCCGGGAGCTTTTAACGGTGCGCTTATCGTTCAGCCAGAAACAACCGCGTATCGATGACGAGCCGATGGAACCGGCGTATCACCGGCGAAAACATCGGCGTCGGTGGCGTCGGGACGCGAGCTCTCGACCCAGTGCCGTCTGCGCGTGTCCGGGACACGCGAACCCCGCGTGTCGATCCGGGTTCACGGGATCGGGCAACGGGGCCGTGGGCGAAAGGAGGAGGGAAAAAGGGAAAAGAAAACAGAGGGTGGAAAAAAAAGATACAGCCGCGGCAGAGTGAACGAGGGATGAAGAGGAATAACAGAGGGCACAGGAACGCTGATAGGCGGATAGGCAAAAGGGAGCGCGGAGAGGGTTGCGCGGCCGTAACCAGCCTCGACGACCCGGAGCACGCAATTTACCAATCGGTACTCTCCATTATTCGTGTTTACAGCTGCAGGCCGCGAATCAACCTGGTCCCCCTGTTATTTGCCTCGGTCAAATTCAGTCGCAGCCCTGCGGTGGTTTTGAATTAACCATCAATTTTAAGCGTGTTCGACGTCCCTTCCGTCAACGCTGCGCCCGCTCCATCCACCAGCTTTCGGGGGACAGGCCACGATGTTTCGGAGGGTGTCGGACAGACGTTGCGCCAAGGGAATTAATTTATTGCCGGCAGGGCCGCGGATATTCGCGGGGTGGCCCGGGGGTGAATGGGAACCGGCGTCGAGCTGGAAAAAGGACACAGGCTGGAAACACGCGGGCTATTTGTCGGTTAATTCGACAGAGACGCGATAATCGAAGATCGATGATTCCATGTCCGGCTCGGTGTCGCTTTCTTCTCGCTGAATGTAGTGTACGATAATATGGTAGTATATTTATAAACGCTTGTTATAAGATGTACATTACAGAGATGTATAGGAGAGTTCAAATCCGATCGTGACCCGTGCAAGGAAATATAAATAGATTCGAAGTTACGATATCTGGTTCTGCTCGAATATCGTGAAAAGGTCAGGAGAAGTCAAGAGAAGACCGATTAACCTTGTTGAAGTGCAATGACGATAAGTGTGTAGCCGATATCGCATGGCGGGTATCTGCACCGGCATTTGTTTTAACCCTTTGCACTTGAGAGGTGACTGTTGGAACCCGGATTTCAATATACAATACGGGTTCCAGCAACGAGGCTACGTTGGAAAAATACAAATCCGCGGAGAGGAAAAGAACTACACTGAAACTGACCTTTCGCAAATTTTCTGGGTGCTTATATAATGTTAGATTTTGTTGGGGTGAAGATGACCATTGTCCCTTAGCGAAAGCAGTTTTTTAGTAGAGAATCTTTGAATTTCTACTC